ACACACACACACACACACACACACAGACTGGTACTCACCTCCTGATGTTACAGTTGCTCTCAGTAGGTCCACTGCTTGTCCTCCCAGGACACACAGGAGGAGAGTCACAGTAACCAACATCGCAGCCATCAGTCTTTCAGAACGATAATTTGACCCTTGATTGTTGTTCGTTAACAAATATAAACCCTCTGGTGAACACAGACAATACTATTCCTTTGTTTTCTGCTCCGTTCCCTCCAGTTATGAACTACACCAGTCAAAGTTCAGAGATAACAAACCCTTTCTCCGAGAGCGTGTGAGTGTGTCTCAGCCACTGCTGAGCAGCTCTTTAAAAGCAGAATTTGAAAGCGAAACAGCGATTGTGGTTAACCAAAAGAAAACCTCCCCCACGACGTTGATTCATCAGCTTTCATTATGTCACAAGATAAACCAACTAGTTTCATACTTGTTTTTAATATTTGTGTTTGCTTGTTTACAGAAGAAATAATTATGTACAAGAAGACTGACATGGCACACAGTTTTACATATATAAAAAAACTTTATCAGCGAACGCAGTTCTTTGAAAGTGGTGAAAAGACATAAGAGAGGTTGTCTGTCAGTTCAGCTACTTCCCCTCTGCTCATTTGTGCTCCACTGTCCTCTAGTGTAGAAAATGACAAATAGCAGCGATAGCATTGAAAACAGAGTGTGCAGTTGACACTTAAAAAGTCTCGATCAGACTATATTGTCTATTTTCAGCTGATCAGTGTCCACAGTCTTAGCTGTCACATATTTTCTGGACAGGGAGCCACCGTGGAGGTTCCAGCCAAATGCTGAGGCCCCGTCCCTGGGTTATGCTTATACCATAGTGTCCCTCCACTGGATGTCCGCAGGGACGTGAAGGCCTTGCTAATCCAGTTGTTCTTTGCTGTCTGCAGCTGGTTGGACAGCAGTCCCTTCTCGTGCTCCAGCTCCTGGAAGAATAAACACAGTTGTAAAGCCTACACTAGAAATGTTACAGAAAAATGTAAGCTTTAAACTTTAACATGTTAATTTCAGCTCATATTTGTGCCAATGTAATGTTTATGTTCTTGTATTTGTCTGGAAAACCTTTAATATTGAAGTGAAAGATATAACATTA